ATTGTGTAAATTAAATCTGACATGGCTTTTTCAAAATTCTGCTTTCAGTTATAGGTATTGTAGTGATGTATGTATTGATGTAGTGTTGTGCTGGTGTAGTGATGTATGTATTGGTGTTTTTTTGTGCGGGTGTAGTGACATATGTATTGGTGTGGTGGTGTGCTCGTGTAGTGATGAATGTATTGGTGCAGAATTGTGCTTGTGTAGTGATGTATGTATTGGTGTAGTGTTGTGCTGGTGTAGTGATGCATGTATTGGTGTAGTGTTGTGCTGGTGTAGTGATGTATGTATTGGTGTAGTGTTGTGCTGGTGTAGTGATGAATGCATTGGTGTAATGTTGTGCGGGTGTAGTGACATATGTATTGGTGTAGTGGTGTGCTTGAGTAGTGATGTATGCATTGGTGTAGTTGTGTGCTTGAGTAGTGATGTATGCATTGGTGTAGTTGTGTGCTGGTGTAGTGATGTATGCATTGGTGTAGTGGTGTGCTGGTATAGTGTTGTACGGGTGTAGTGATGTATGCATTGGTGTAGTGTTGTGCAGGTGCAGTGAAGTATGCATTGGTGTAGTTTTATGTGGGTGTAGTTATGTATGTATTGCTGTAGTGTTGTGCTGGTGTAGTGATGTATGCATTGGTGTAGTTTTGTGAGGGTGTAGTGATGTTTGCATAGGTGTAGTGATGTATGTGTTGGTGTAGTGTTGTGCTGGTTTAGTGAAGTATGCATTGGTGTAGTGTTGTGCTGGTGTAGTGATGTATGCATAGGTGTAGTGTTGTGCTGGTGTAGTGATGTATGCATTGGTGTAGTTTTGTGAGGGTGTAGTGTTGTATGTGTTGGTGTAGTGTTGAGCTGGTGTAGTGACGTATGTGTTGGTGTAGTGTTGTGCGGGTGTAGTGTTGTATGTGTTGGTGTAGTGTTGTGCTGGTGTAGTGATGTATGTGTTGGTGATTCCATTAAATGTGATAAATGTAATTGTAATTTGATACAAGATGAGTATCATTTCTTACTCGTATGTCCATTTTATTCACAACAACGCTCTTTGTACATTCCTGACTTTTATATTATATCTCCAACCAGATCAAAGTTTACCCAGCTGCTTGCAACAAAGAATGTAAAACTCCTAAAAAATATTGCAATTTATCTTAAACTATATTTACCTGTATAAATTGTAAATTGTTCTCCTGACCATGTGCTATATTTTGCTTATTGAATTGTACTTTTGGTCATGTGGCCATAAATACTGAATAAAGCTCTTCTTCTTCTTCTTCTTCTTCTATTTAAAGATAATTACTGGTGTATAGGTTAATGCTATTGACATAAATACTGACATTACCATGATATAGGTAATAAATATTATGTGTAATGTCGTATTGTAGAAATCATACATTTTGAAAAGAAAAAATATTAATTGTATACACATAATTTGTTCCCATTGTTTACGATAAGTAAACACACACAAGTGTCAATTTCTTCCTTATGTAGTGTCATTCTTACAGAGATCTGTGTTTCAGATGTTATTGAACTCAATGAACTGACATATTGCAAAACCCTGATATATACCTTTGAAAAACATTTTCTTGATAAAGGAAGCATTGCTGCAAAGCATAAATCTTGCAAGTAGGGCCTAGGTGGGCAAGCTGTCGAAGGCACCGTGCTAGTAAGTGAAAGGTGCCTGGATCGATCCCAACTTGTGACCGGGTGTAAACAGCCTTGGAGCTAACATTCTTCAGGCTCTTGCAGTGTTGTCACAACCGCTAGTGTGCAGTACACAAGGTTGGATATCTCTGTGGGTCATTTCTAAAACGGCAAACACACCCAGAGTTTCAAGGAACATTAAGATGGGTATCAGTGTGTTTGAATGTGTTTGCAGGTGGTAGATACCTCCAAGAACATAGCAGAGGTGCCGGAATGGTTTCACGGAGCCAGACTGAACTATGCAGAGAATCTACTGCAGTACAATGATGACAGAGTGGCTATCTATGCTGCAGGTTTGGCTTGAGTTATATTCTGTGTTTAACGTAATGTGCCAGGCAACAGAGAATTAAGTTGACATGCAGGTGTATGTGTTGTGATGTGAACTTGAAATAATCTTCCTTAATACCAGAACATGGCAAGCAGCAAAATATGCCATAAATTTGGAAAATATAGGAGACTCCACAAATACATTCCAGGGCCATTGGATCCTCTCAAATAATATTGGGCGGTGGGGTAGCCTAGTGGTTCAAGCGTTCGCTTGTCTCGCCAAGGCCCCGGTTTTGATTCCCTTCATTGGCACAATATGTGAAGTCTATTTGTGGTGTTCCCCACCATGATATTGCTGGAATATTGCTAAAAGCGGTGTAAAACCCAACTCACTCACTGAAGTAATAAAACGGTATAGTGTAGATATGTCTAAGATTAGATAATTACTATCAGGGGTTGAAAGTTTTTTCAAAACTACACTTTGAACTTTCAAAATCCGCTTGACCAAATATCAATTTCACTTGACTACAATTAACAATTTGGTTTCTTTTGCAAATAATCTTTATCAATTGTAAACAACAGTACAGCTAAAACAATTCTGCACAGTTTTTAATCAATAAAACACCAATCTACTATACAATGACTACATCTGTAATTTTCAAAAAGCCGCTTACAAGTCTTTTTTCAGGATTCATTTTGAATAAAATAGTTAATTTAGAATGTAACTTAGTTGAAATTACCCATCTCTCAACTAACAGACATTTGATAATAGATTGACTTCATCGGTCCTTGTCTCTTTTTAATGGTCACAAATTACTGTGCGCCTGTACGATAGTAATATCAAACCAATAAGTTACTCAATCTAGTCTGAACATGCAAATTAGGGTCATATCAATTAGATGTCAATATGTTACAGTAAATAGATTGTGACCTCATTTTTGACAATTAGTTTGTAGATCTCGACATTGCAAATGGCAATTGAAGAAGTACAATGCAAGTCGTTCTAAGAATACGCTAGGAAATAAAACACAGAAGTTAGTTGGTAACAATTGCATTTTTATTTCATCATCAAAATACATAATTTTTTCAGGTGAGACGAGGTTGTTTCTTTTTTGTAGTGATGGTGTTTGTGTTAAACACAATATTTTTCATTATTATTATCGGACACTTCGCCATTCAGAAGACGTGGCTTTGATGTATTCGTAGCGGCTTGTTCATGGCTCATGCTTATTTGTTATACTATTATCTTATATTAAGCCTTAATTCTTGTCTTCAGTCTTTGTCAGTATTTGTGAGACGTTTGTTCTCAATTATGCTGTTTACCTGTGTGTTCCTCATTACTATTGTAATGTTTTTCACCGTGTGTTTGCTGGGGGTTTCTAATATGTTGCAGTTTCTATACAGCACACGCTGTATAGTTTGTAAGGCGGGGTATCTCATAAGTGCCTTCATTCATACTGTTTGAATTGCACTTTTCCGTGTTTTTCCCCGTTTTTTCACATGAATGCATGTGCTTGTTGCGCTTTCTTAATATATCATCTTAACACCTTTTTTCTGTCTATGAAGCGCCAGGTCCAACACCAACGTCGCCTGTGGCAAGCACCCAGATACTTGCCACACCACTGATGTCCACTAACTCTAGGGCGTCTGGCACTCCGTATTCATTCTCCAGGTTGCTGTTTTCAGAGTTTCCATGGCAGGCGTCATACTCCTGACGCCTAAGATCCATGCGCCGCACACTCAGCAGTCACTGGATGTTTCGACATCCATTCCACACTTGGCCTAGTTAGCAGGGACTGCAGCGCCTGTACGGCACAACCAGCTGTATGGCGCCTCTACTAAATCTAGCACCTGTATGACGCTACCAGCTGTATGGGGCCTCTACTAGATCTAGCGCCTGTACAGCTACAAGCTGTATGACGCCTCTACTAGATCTAGCGCCTGTACAGCGCTACCAGCTTTATGGCGCCTCTACTAGATCTAGCTCTTGTACAGCGCTACCAGCTGGATGACGCCTCCACTATATTCAGTGCCTCTGGTGTTAACATACTGCGTCAACACCTCCAACATCGTCAAGGGTTCAGCAGCTGTTGGTTACACCACTGTCTCCGATGGCCCCTACGTCGGGAGACGAACACATCTTGCCCTCGGAGACTTCAACTATTATGGCGCCTAAGGCCGGGTGTGGCATTTAAGCAATCCCTTGTCAAGAAATTAAGCGCTTGACAGTTCTCAAACTTAACTTCGGCTATTAACACTGTCTCTCCAGACCTGACCTGAGATGAATCCGTACAGGATCGTCACCTCTCTTCTATGATGGCTTGGTAGTGGATGGTCCTCACTGTCCTTGGCGAACACTTACGGGCAGATCTCGCCAATGCATGTGTTTTTTTAGGTCAAGGCTTTCTCTCCCCTTTTCCGGTTGGGATTCAAAGTTTTAGTGGAATCTATCTGGCCAACCCTAGTCCTTGACTACCATATCTAATAACGAGTTCAAGGACGTCTATCGAACAGTGTGAGACTTTATTCAGAGGGAGATAGCGTTGACGGCCTTCCAGCAAGTCCAACATCCCTCATCACATGAATCCAGTACCTACTCTTGCCTCGGCACCACACTGTCAGGCAGGCTTGGAATCAGGCTCCTATCCGTGGTTGGAGACGTGGTGACAAGTCTCATATCGACATTGGAGGATATGAACGTAGCTACGTCCCCTTCAAGGGTGACGGAAGCAGGGGCAAATGAAGCTCAAGATCCACACGACTGGACACTCTGTCCTCCAGAGGCCCTTGTATTATCCAAACACCCGTACATTGGTGACTACTGCGTTTCTGCTGTAATTGGTTATTTCTTGGGGTCCATACGTCACGACATCTGGAAACATGTGTTCCGCCTCCCCATAGCTCTGCCTCAACGATGTGCCTGGTTCCGATGTTTACTTTCGACCGGGAGTACCTGCGCTTTTACTTCAACAGCTCCATGGTTATTAACTCATATCATAATGCAGCAACATTGATAATTTGGTGATTTCACACGTGCTCTCCACCATATGACGTAATTTGCATACGGACAGCAGCCGTTTTTCACCATAAGTCTTTTTACTAGCTGGGCTAATTAGCTGGGTTGACTTGTCAACGAGGAAGTTTCAGACCTTGTACCATCACACACAGTTACGTACATTTGAAGCCTCTTTCAAGCAGACAGGATCCTCATTCGGAATCCGGCAGGTACAGCAGGTTTTAGACCCTCATCCCATGTGTGTTGTTCGGACCGATGTCCACCCGGGGAATGACAGGCGGACATTCGTCAACGTGTCGGTCTCCTGCCTCCCTTACCTCAGTGTCCAAGGTTCAACTGTTCATACAATGTACAGCACAGCACCCCTGGCACATTTTACAATTTTTGTCCCTAACAGCTTGCCATACAGATGAGCTGGCTGCCGGCAGGTACATCCTGGGCTCTGGCACATGCTGCTCCTGCAGTCTGTGCACTCAGGTGATATAAAAGCTGCATGTGCCATGTGCCCGGCACACACCATGCTGGCAGTGGCAGCCCTCTATGTAATTTCCCTAATTACAGGTACGCAAGTTTGTTTGAATTGTTCATATTAAAACAATTAGTCAGGTGTAATCCTGTATTCAAATAATTATATTTAATAATGGTTTAGTAACCATTAACTTTCATAATTATTTATATGTAATAATTATGTAAAGTGTCACAATAGTTTTACTTGTCGTATTGATTTATAAAGACACACCGTGCTGGCAGTGGCAGCCCTCTATGTATTTTTTTTCTTGTAGTGGACTCGCCCATAGATGTCATAGCTGCAGTCCCCTTGACTGAGCGAGTTCCGAACTACCTACGTTTAGGTCGGCACCTCCATGCAGAATTGAGGGGCCCCTCGACTATATCTGATAATCTCAGGGTTTCGGTCATGAGATCAATCAGCAGTTTGGAGCTCCAGGCAGTGTTCCTCGCTATCTGTCACTGGGCGCATTGTCTCCCGGGCAACTGATTGTTGTGTGATTTAACAAGGGTTTGACCGGGTTACTGTTTCCAGAAGTTCCGTCTGTTCTCCAGGAATAGCCGACACCCATGTCTGTCTGAGAACTCAGCATATTCCTGGTTGCAGGTACATCTTAGCGGACGCTATATCGGGGTCTGACAGAGTCGCTTTCACAGACTGAATGCTACACAAAGAGATACCGGTTTATGTGTCTCTGTCTCCGGATGGTCAACCTGGGCAGCGGATGGCTTAAGCCTTTCCTGTCCTCCAGTCTTGCTTCCAAATGTTTTCATCCCAATCAAGAATTAACAACTTGACATCGACAACTTGACTTCGACTTGCACAGCGTTAGCGACAAGGGTCATGTGTTTGGTGCGCTTGGTGTTAATTGGATCCAGTTTGAACGACACAGTCATGGTTCTGTACCTCTGGGTATTTTATGGGGATTTCATCACTACACACCAGTTGCCGGCTAGGGCGAAATGATAGACGGTTCTCTATTTCGCCCTTATCGTCTGTTGTCGACGTGAAGACGTTCCTGTGTTCCTCTTGTGTTCAGCTGGTGTACTCAGTTTGTACATTAAGCGAACTCAAGCCGTCAGAGGCATGTAAGCAAAACCACGAGTGTTTTGTGGATACGGACTTCCTTTATTCATGCGTATCATGCGGCTGGTCTGGTTTCCCCTACATCTACGCCAACCTCCAGTACTTCGCACATTCGCCTCTACTATGGCGCTTCACTGTTACTGTACAGTGGCATTGATAATGCAAGAGTGTTTCTAGAAGTCGGACACAGTCTCCGCCAATCAGTAGCCACACCATATGTGTCCAACGCTTCGGGCCATTGGTGCCAGACCAGCACTTCAACAATCCCCGAAGGATATCACATCCTACATTGTTGTTCGCACTGAAGCACGACGATGTCGTGTGGGGAATGAGTTGTTTTGAGCAAAACAACTGGGTATGTCAGTTAAGGAGTAACACTTGGATAGACTCAGGTCCATGCTTCTTACTGCATTCCTAAAGCTAATAACACTTTAAAATCGAGATTGGCCTTTTCCATTTAAGCCTACGCCAAGGCTTATATGTGGGAATGACCACTGATCTGAGGTCTCTATCGACCTGGTGTCTTCCAGATTCCATGAAGGTGTCTTCATTCATGATATTTCTTCCACATGAGGCATGATGTTGCCGTGTGGGGAAAAGAGTTGTTCGAGGGAAACAACTGGGTGTGTCAGTTAAGGAGCAACACTTGAAAAACTCAAGTCAATGCTTTTACTGCATTTCCTAAAGCTAATCTCGCTTTAAAAATCGGCGTGGTCTTTTTCCATTTAAGTCTACATGTCTTATATCGCGAATTACCACTGAGAGATAGTCACTGTCTGTTGACTATTCTGCCAGGTGCAACAAGAGGATAGCTTCCACCATGCTTTTTCTTCCCAAGGCAACGCGCCCGACGACGATATGGAAAAGAGTTGTTCCAGGAGAACAACTGGGTGTGTCAGTTAAGGAGTAACGCTTGGGTTAACCCGAGTCACTGCTTTTTACTACATTTCCCTAAAGCTAATAACGCTTTAAAAATCGTCTGGTATATTCCATTTAAGACTCCGTGTCTTATATGTGTATTACCACTGCCTGATCGTCACTCACTGTCCAATCTAGGTGCGACGACGGTTTTCCACCACCGAGGCGCACTTGATAACATTGACCAAGCTGTCTTTGTGTACCTTGCTAGGAGATCCCCACAGATGACACGCCCTCCATCCTGCCTGTCCGATAAATGTGCAGGAAGCAAGTAGTGCAGGATAAGTTAAAAATTTAGTAAAGTCTAAATATTTTTTATATTTGTATACTTATCCTGCACTACTTATGATAAGGGCCCACCCTGCGCTTTCAGCTACCTCCCCTCTTTGTGTTCTCTGTGGGATTCTTCTTACGGCATAATCTGAGGTGGCTGGCGTCACCTTCCGTGATCGCGTCATGAGCGGATGTTTACAGAGACCAGGAAGTGATCACAGTCTACGCTTTCAACATCAATCGTCTGGCAGAGCCACGTTTCGAGTCGTAAGCAATAAGTGCAGGAAGCAAGTAGTGCAGGATAAGTATACAAATATAAAAAATATTTAGGTTTTTACTAATATCAAAACATTTCAGTAGTTTGGCACTGTTTAAGTTTAATTTGGATATTAACTTGACCGACCTGGGCGTCAGGCAATGGTATTTTTCACCCCCTGACTTTAATTATAGGATCTTTATATTCTTTTGAAGACATTGGTATAATGAACACTATTTGCATGCATGCAACATATTATTGTGGGTGCATCTATTTCTGTACATTTATGTGTACTTAACTCTCATTTCTGCATCATGTAAACTGTGTGATAACGTCCCCTGATTTGATCACCTGATTTGACATCTGCATGCCGGAAGTTAATATTGATAGGCATACTTATCTTGACATTGATGTTTTGATGTGATTAATTTTAGATGTGTACAATCATAAACTGAAATGCAGAGTTGGTGTTATGCCAGTCCTTGCAGATTTTCACTTGTCACAGATTCCCTTTTTTTCCTATGTTGAATTAATAAAATGTCCTGCTTCTCTCATTTGTGTGCCAGAGAAACATTTTATGGAGTTCATATTTTGTTGTAGGAGTGAGGAAGATCTGAGGTGATAAAGAGGACGTACAAGGACCTGAGGAAATCTGTAGGGCTGTATGCATCAGCCATGAAGAAGATGGGCGTGAAGTCTGGTGATCGAGTTGTAGGTAAGACATAATAATAATAATAATGAGAAGTCTTATAATGCGCTAATCTCCACGCAACAAAGCATGCTCAAAGCGCTAACACCCTGATTATTATTACCCCGGATAACCCAAGCTGCCTGTTAGGCGCTAGAAGGTTATAGTCGCATGACTTTATCCAACCGGGTACCCATTTTCTGCTGGGTGAACAGAGGCAATTTTTAACAAACTCACATGCCTAAGGTGAGACCACATGTATCACATGTGCTTCGTTGTTGGGCAGGACGGAAGTCCTAGAAACTCTCAGGAGTCAAGCTGTCAAACACGGTCACCCATCCAAGGACTGTCCGAGCTAGACGTTGCTTAACCTCAACTGATTCGTGACCTGCACTCTGTGCACAGGACCACACGCCACCACATAGTCAGGGACAGGGCACATTCCACTTGTATAGGCACACATCGATTGAAGTGCTCATGTGATCGTGACTCCCGTACTTTACCACAGACCTATGACTGTCCTTGTTTTCAGTCACTTTGGAGAATGGCTCCCAGGTAAGTTGGCAGCGGGACTGACAGTTTTTTTCTAGTTGAAGGCTACAATTTCTGGCTTTTTAGGTCAGCATCTTGTGTTATTTTGCTGGATTGGTAAATGTTTCATGTTTGCATCTCTGTTAGGTTTCATTAGCATTGAGAAATTGGTTTGAAAAAGAAGTCTGTAGTCCCCAGGGGACACCAGAAATGTGCTTCACACATTGTACCCACGTGGTCAATCAAACCCACCAGGAGCGAATTCTTCAACCGCTAGGCTGCTCCCTAAGCCCCATCTGTATGTTGATATGCTGTGTTGATGTGATGTGCTGGGATTGTTGTTGGACTAAAAGCGCACCCCGCCAGCTTTGTTTGTCTGTGAAGCAAGTTGTAGGTATTCCTGTGATCATGCTTACCCTGATGTACGTTAGGTATGTCTTTGCCGTAGGTTACATTCCCAACTGTATCGAGGCTGTGGAGGTGATGTTAGCAGCAGCAAGTATTGGAGCAATATGGAGCTCAACATCACCTGACTTTGGTGTAGTGGTAAGTAGATACCCTCACGACCTAAGGGATGTCACATTATTGAACTGTGTCTTGATTGGGTTAAACTTTGATCTTCAGCAACACATGCTTGTTGTAAGAAGTTTCACTCACGGGGATTGGGTGTTCAGGCTTCATTGACTTGGTTTAGGTTTGTGGATTTACTGACCTCCGTCATTACAGCTTGAACATTGTTGAGTGCAGCCGTTAAAATCCATTCAACATGAAAGGGGTTCAGGGGTTCGAACCCCATTGGCTCCACCTCAGCGCAAAAAGCTTCAACGTGGTATTAAGTTATTTTCAAAGGGGGGGAATCTGCCAATGCGTATGTGTTAATGATGTCAACATTGCCATTGCTGTTAACTGTAGCTTTCAACAGAAATTCTCTAGAATGTAATATAACTGGTGAGCTGATTTTGACATTGTGTCACATATCTAAGCTAGACTTGTGTATGTGTTAAGGGAATTTGTGAAATTATAAATGTGATAAGATGCACAGTATATCAATGCTGGTAGATACATGAAGTATACTTTTGATAAAAGGACAATTGTTAAATAAAACTATCATGTATGATAGTGGCCTCTTACGACAAACATGTCATACTGAAGACCAATTCTAACCCAGAAGTTCACAGGTTGATACTCAAAATGGGGCGAAATCATGACTGCTACTCTCTGTTAAAAAAGATGTCCTTTCAAAAAAGCTATTTCCTTTGATCTTCATGTTTTGAAACTGGATGATATAACACGTCCTGATGCTAGTGGTTGTCATGATGATCAGTCTGTTTATACCTTTTCAGGGTGTGTTGGAGAGGTTTTGTCAAATACGTCCCAAGTTGATATTCAGTGTGAATGCTGTCAACTACAATGGCAGAATGCACAACCATTTGGAAAAGTTACAGCAGGTTGTCCGAGGTATCTTTTGTTTTTATTTCCTTTGTTTAGATGCAAAATCAGCAACAGTGTTATTCTTTACTTGACCTAAGTGTAACTGTTGTGTGTGCGTGTGTATAACACCACACTCCACAAGATTTGGATGTATGGCAATGATGTGTAAATGTTCTGGACCAGACAATCCTGTGATTGACATCATGAGCAGTTACAATATGATGACATGAATCAACAAAGTCAGTGCACCTGTGTTTTCACTGCTTACAACAAGCTCGTGTTATTAAATATTCCTGAATATATACTTCATGCCCTTGTGGTGAAAATCTTTCTTCAAGTTTTATTACATAGGAGCAATAATTTAAGCCCAAATTATATGTCATTTTATCGTGACAGATCGCATTGACTATCCTATGAAGCCTTTCACTTCTGTGTAGACCTTGACAACATGCTGTTATTATATAAGCTTGATATGTTGTTTTGTCACATAGTTAGCCGTGTCCACACAATACAGAGTAGCCTCCCTTATATATCAGAAACTTAGTCCTATGTTCAACAGTACATGTTTTACTCCCACAGGCAACAAAATAAGTAGTACACTGTACAAAACACATTTCACCAACCATGAAAGAATAGAATTAGTCAGATATAAACAGATTGATCTCTTCTCTAATGCAGTCAGATTCCATATTTGGTGTGCATTTGGCATCAAGTAATGACAGGAGTTAATATAGCTGTGTATTTAGAGAGTTTTGTGCAGTTGCATAATTTTTTCTTTTCCTGACTCACGATCTTTTGCTTATATCTTTCCTATGCGAATGGTAGTGGAACACTTGAATCCTTTAAAGTTCCCGAAGCGGACATAAAAATACACTCACCCACGAGTTACCTCCCTTTTCCTGCGTAAACAGTCATGTGACCAGCCTTACTTGTCACTCTCCCTTTTCGCCCAAGCGGATGGTTGGGCGAGCACTGGAGTCCTATATACACCATTATATATAAAGAGATCGGCTACAACGCAGTTGACACCGGCTCAAAGTAAGAAAAAGACGTCGACTTCTTCTACGTCGCAGAAGAGAGCATCTGTTTCCAGATCGGAGGTTAAATCTACGCAGCCTAGTAAGTCAACGCATCAGAAATCCTTCAACAAAGAGATTATACCTCACGAAGTAGACGTTTTTGATGATCCCTCGTTACTTCTACCTGAAGTACCGCCTAGATCATCGACTCAATCGACTTCCACGACTACTAGATCCTCTCCTGCAACTGCCACAGCAGGTCAGCTGTTTGACGAACTACCACTTACAACGGAGTGAAGTTGACGCACACAACTCATCAGCGTTCGCGAACCGCAGCAGCTTCAATCAACGCAGAACTTGATCCGGGTGAAATTATGAGGCAATTCACCACCAGATGATGGCCATAATGGAACATAGGTTAGAGGAAGAGGCGAAGGTTCGACGGAACCACTCATCTGCTGACAACGTGCGCGAACCAACGGACCTGCGCGAACCTACTCCTCAGAGATCTACGTCTCAAGAATATGTTGGCGAATGTACACCTTTGCGAAGGTCTTCACAGTCTGACCACTCAGTCATCTTGGAGGAGGATAGAAGACATGAGAAGCCTACTCACTCTTCAACATCTGCGAACCCTCAACATTCGAGAACATCTGAGGATCCATTTCCTACACCTAGCCGCTCTAGATCGAGATCTTATATCTCTCACAGACATTCGCTAAGTCACTCATCAGGTCACAGAGGTTCGCGATGAGAAGGCTCAGGTCACAGAGGTTTGCAAAGAGATGTATCCAGAGATAGAGGTTCGCGAAGAGAGGACTCTCAAGATAGACGTTCGCAAAGGGAGGAATCTACAGATAAACGTTCGCGAAGGGAGGAATCTACAGATGGAGGTTCGCAAAAGGATGATGGAGGTTCGAGAAGTGATACATGTTCGCAGAAGGATGATTCGCGGAGGCATAACTTTACCGATCGAGAGATAACTGATGAACAAGCAGACTTCGTCTTCCCGGACTCAGAGGTTACAGCTTGGATAGCCAATGGTTTGAACTTGGAGTCTCCTTCTAAGGATATAGATGAAGTCTACACTTATAAGATGCGTAATGACGACTTTGACTCGGTAACTATCCCTCCGATTGAACCTATATCCAAGGTACCTTCCAACCTTCACACAGCTTTCGAGAAAGCTACCAAGTTCCAAAATCAGCATCTGCCATCTTTTGATGTGAAGAGATGCCCCTTTACATCATATGGATCCCTTTATGAAGGCGCCGGAATAAGATGATAACTTGAAGTTAGTCAACAACTCTCGGAACAAGATATACAAAGTGGAAGATAAAAAGTTATCCGAACTTAATACTGCTACAAGGAGATCCTTCTTCATTTTGGCCAGGTCCAGAGCTATCAATGAAGCATTGATTAATAAGTTTCAGAACCCAAGTTCGGAAGAAGATAGAATGCTATTATAGGCTCTGCTCACTCAGAAGAAGGACCAATACTTTTTATCGGACCATTTGGCATCAATATTTGCGCAGACAAGGTCTACTGGCATCTTGTTCATGGAGTGACAGATTCACCCAACCGCTGCTTAGAGCTCTGTTGGAGGCGCCTACTATCTTTGGAGGAGAGATAGACGATGCAGCTAAGGAAGCTACTCATGATTCAAGAGAAGTCATGATGATAAAGTCTATAGATACTCTGGCTAACGTCGTTCGTCATACTTCCCAGAAGTACAACAGTAAGTCCAAATATTCCGGCATCCAGAAGGCTAAGGAGAAGAAGTACTCTAGCTTCAGAGGCGGGAAAGGTTCCTTTCGTCACCCATCCAGAAATTACAGAGGGAACTCGGGGAGAGGCCGCACTGGAGTCTTCCACCCCCAGCCGTTCCTGTAAAACGATCAACATAGGGTGGACGTCTACAAAGGTACTGGAAAAATTGGGGAATACTAGAGGACGACTACGTCTCCCAAGTACTACGAGAAGGCCACACCTCTGCTAACCCTCAGCCCGATGGTCTATGCAGAGGAGCAGGCAGACAAGTTAAAAGAAGCCATCAACTCACTACTTATGAAGGATGCGGTAGAGATAATAGATCAGCATCATCTCACGCCAGGCTTCTACTCCCCAATTTTTCCAGTACCCAAGAAGAACTCCAAAGAGAAGTTCAGATTGATTAACAACATGTGCAAATTCAACAAAGACTATCTACTGAAACCAGACAGGTTCAGAATGATCCACCTACCTCAACTCAGACTGCTCGTCCGTCCATCAGATTACATGGCCAGCATAGACCTTCAGGATGCATATCTACACATCCCCATACATCCGGAATCAAGAAAGTATCTGCGATTCCTATTCAGAGGGCAGTACTTCCAATGGAACGTCCTACCGTTTGGAATATCTTCGGCCCCTTGGCTATTCACACGAGTAACCAAGCCTATAGTCGCATACCTACATCATCGAGGTCTACGCAATGCCTTCTACCTGGACGACAGCTTTCAGGTTCACCAAAATGCCAGTCAACTCAAAGACTTGACTCGCACAGGAAGCTTACAACTAAGACCGCTGCGACGGTTCCTGACAAAGCATCTCAACAGCGTCGACCCTATCTTGCTGCCAGACAATCTCAAGAGGTACCTACTTTGGTTGGAGTCACAGGTCAACGCTTATTGGAGGGACCTATTTACAAGAGCCGGACTTCGACACACATCTCTACGCGATGCTTTGATACAAGGCTTGCGCGATCTCAACAATCAAGTTGCATCAGGAGGTGGTCCAAAATAGAGCAGCATCTTCACATCAATCTGCTGGAGATGAAAGCTGTGATCAACACCTACAACTAAGGTCGAGCTCGCTGAGCAACAAAATGCTGATGGTCCACAACTCTACAGTGACTCAACACTTTACGCTGCTTTCCACCTTCGGATTACTACTGAAAAGTACTGTTGAAGATCAAACAGACACAGCGCTATTAACTGACTGGTCGCTACTTCTATTGGCCAGCGAGAGTATGGTTCCTAGACCTAGTAGAGGATCTCTCGAAGTCCAACAATCAAGTTGCCAGATTGGCCGAACCTACTCATACATCCGCACACCAAGCAAGTCCACGGAACCCAGTACTGTTCCAGCTACGCTGTGTGGACCGTATCAAAACAAGTTTGAAGAAGAGAGGATACTCCGCCAGAGCAGCCAAGGCAGTAACGTTAGCGTTACGCAGATCCACTCGTAATCTGTAAGATGACAAGTGGCTGAAGTTTGAGACTTATGCAAGGCAGAAAGGCTTCATTGCTATGAAAGCTACTCATCCTCAAGTGGCGGAATACCTATGTCATCTTAGACATACTAGACATCTGAAAGGTTCGACATTATCCACGTACCTCGCTGCCTCAGTACAGTGATCACCATGAAGACAGGCATCAAGTTGACGAAAGTACCAGAATTACTTGCTCTGCTGAGATCTTTTAAACTGGAGGACCAGCAAAAGAAATTCAGAGCTCCGGCCTGGGATCTGAATGTAATTCTACGTCATCTCATGAGTGATGCCTACAAACCTCTAGATCAGACTACCCTCGAGCTGCTGACACAGAAGACTCTGTTCCTGCTTGCACTAGCCACGGCAGCTCGAATATCAGAGATACATGCTGAACTTTGCTCGAACTAGATTTGACACGGGGCAACGTGCTGCAGTACATGTAGGACTTAGATGGGATTTTATTGCCAAGAACCAACTACCTGGTCAGCCAGATAGACAGTTCCATGTACCAGCGCTATCCACAATCCTCGGACCAGAGGATATGCAGGACCTATCCTTGTGTGCGGTCAGAGCCCTGTTCATCCCATTATCTACAAAGACTAAAACAAGGATTTCAATCTGCCTGTTCATCCCGCATTATCATCTACAGAGACATCAGCAGAAGTCTCAAGAATGACAATATCATTCTGGATGAGAGCTGTCATATTGAGAGCCTACAAAGCAGCAGGACTAGAACCTCCAAAAGCACACGAAGTCAGAGCACTGGCGTCAACATTGGCTCTGCACGGAAATTGCTCTATAACAGCAATTATGAAAGGGCTGCTTTTGGAAGTCGGATACGGTGTTTGCCAACCACTACTTCCGAGACATAGCCACCGAAGACGTCTCAGGCATTCATCAATTTGGGCCTCTCGCTGTAGCACAGCAACTAGTGGTTCCACAAAGGCGCTGAGTTGGAAAATCTCACCCTTTATCATGTTGACTTGTTGATAACTTTTACTAAGGAAAAGTATTAGTTTAAAAGTCCATGTGCACAGTCTAAGACAAACTAGCATGAGTGATTAAAGACCCTGTACGGGTAAGGATCTTACCAGTACATTAAGGGGTCGCAACTCATTTATGATAAAGATCTTATCATAATCTATTGGTTGTTATAGATATCTAGTGATAAGAAGATACTAGTATATCTGAAGCCACATGAATCAACATGATTCAACTTGTCTGAGATTGAAGTAAGACAAGAAAGTGGTCCCCTGAGTTATAACGGAAGTTGGAAGAATAGGATCACGGAAATGCCGTTACACAGTTCCCATGGGGGGATACAGGACGTATCTAAGGACAGCTGATGAATCCAGGAAGTGGCCTGACCCACCACCAATCCGCAGGATTCTATAAGCAAAAGATCATGAGTCAGGATAAGAAATAAAATGTAATTTTTCAAGTAAAATTGATACTTTTATACATATCCTGACTCGTGAGGTCAAGCCCTCCCAACCTCCCGCTGGAAACACTTCGGATTTCACAGTAGATATATCCGTGGGAAAAGGGAGGTAACTCGTGGGTGAGTGTATTTTTACCTTGCAAAGATGTACGTTTGCTTCGGGAACTTCAAAGGATTCAAGTGTTCCACTACCAATCGCATAGGAAAGGGAGATAAGCAAAAGATCATGAGTCAGGATAAGTATAAAGATTTCACTTTTACTTGAAAAATTACATTTTGTTAGGGCAATCAGTAATTTTCTGCAGCACTAGTGCATGAACTGTGGCAGTGTTGTGACAGATATGATATTCACACAGACAGAGTTCATAAGCAACTAAAATTCAGTCAGTGTGTTTAACAACTCATGACAAAAGGGATATTCTACAAGGCTTTCTCAGTGATGTTTTCTTCAAGGAATTCCAGGCTGTTGACATGCTTTACTTGATTTTCAGAAAGTAAGTTAAGTGCTGTCTTAATTTCAGGTTTACCAGATCTGGAGAGAGTTGTCATCATTCCTTTTGTGGCAGAAGCACAATGTGACCTATCACACATTCCTAATGGGTAAGTAAGTTTCACAGTATCCAGTTCATATAGAGGTCCCTCTATTTCATCTCAGCTAGCGCTGTAGCCTCAAATAGATTATCAGCCAAATCATTTTTGGAGTCTGTATGGTGTTGTTTATCCATGTTCAACTGCGGAATGATACTTCAGTGGTCTAGCAGTTTAAGACCAGCAATGAACATGATGTTAAACAGCACAGCACTACATTCCTGTATAAGTGCAATAGTCTTGGATACAATGTCACCAGCTCACCCACCCAGTATTTGGGAGGCAAATATTTCAGGAACATAGGGTAGGCAAATGCTGTTATGTTTGTTAAATATTTTTCATTTCACAATATGTTGATATTGTCAGCTGGACCATAAAATGATGAAAAGGAACTGGAAAGGTCATACATGTGGATCTCAGATTCATTTGTTAATCTGACCGTTTCTGAAATGACTTTATACTTTACTTTACTCTATACAGCTGCTTTTACTTTATACAGCTGCTTTAAATTAAGAATTTCTGGTGTCCCCCGCCGTGATGTTGCTGGAATATTGCTAAAAGCAGCGTAAAACCAAAGTCAGTCAGTCAGTCAATCAGTTTAAATTAAGAAATTTCATACTGACAAGAAATGATACAGATGTTCAGAAACATTTTGATTGATAAATCCATGTGTATTTCTTTCAATAATCTATTTTACCAGTACATCTGTACTTATTTATAAACATTGACTCTTCAACAGGTGCCTGTTGGAAGATTTCTTGAACGATGGGAAGGAGGATGGTGCTATTCCCCAGCTGGAGTTCGAGCAGGTGCCCTTCAACCACCCCCTGTTTATCATGTACTCTTCTGGGACCACCGGAGCACCCAAGTGTATGGTCCACTCAGCTGGGGGTAAGCAACATGTCATTTGGCTTAGGGAAGTCTTGAGGCTTGAGTCTCTGACCAGGAGCCGGAGTTATGTCCCTTACTTGTGACATGGTCTGCCAGCTCTTAAGTCAGATTCCAGATTCCAGATTAGCAAAGTGGTAAATGAATGAGACGTGTTGAATTTCCCTGTAATTGTTCTCTGTGGTTGCTTGGATGTTAGTAACTAAATGAGCTGTCTGTGAACCTATTACTGTTGACGTGTATTCTTCAAGATATTTTATTGTATTATGTTTTTGCATTTATGGAGGTTTAGGAGTATTTATACAGTATGCAAACCAGTTTAGGCTTCTTTAATTCCTGAAATGTCAAATACAGTCAAATCCCGATGAGTCGAATGCCGGTGTCTCGAATATTATGCATAACTCGAAGTACCTGTCGGTCCCGACCATTCCCTGTTCTAGTTGTCATCATTTGAATACCGGTTACACGAATTCGTCTTATAAATACACACAATGACTAGAGAAGGAAATTTGGTCCCATGAGATTCAAACAACAGCAATCTTGGATACATAAGCCGAAGTCAGTCAATGAGAAGTTGATTGGTGTAGCAAACTGATCCAATTAACAAACCAGCTCGGCTCACACCTTTCCGCCATTGACGGGTGAGTTCAAAAGGCAGATTAGTGATTTTACGGAAATCACTGTCTGTGCTAATCAGACTGGACTGATAAGGTGGCCCTATTAGTGATATGGAAATCATTAGATAAATAAATGCTTAGGCGGAGGAATTAGGACTGGATCATCTTTTTTTTCTACCCTCATAGATATACCTATGTCTCGAATACATCGATAAGTCGAATTTATTACTTGGTCCCCAGCGATTCAACTCATCGGGATTTGACTGTAGTTCTATTCTTACTAAAAACATGTCAAAAGTTGTAGTCGTACTCATTCTGTTATCAGCCATTCAGAAAACGATATTCTGCTTTTGAATGTTACCTAGTATCCTGTTTGTATATGAAAACATAAATGCAGAAACATTTGCACGATTGAGCAGTCAAATTCCCCCAAACACTGGTAGTTAATTAATTGCCAGATGAAAAAATGGACCATAACAGTATCCTGATCTTGCAGATACTCATGTCAGTTTACTGCAACACGTGGCTTATTAATGCTGGTTAATCAGTATTGAGTGATGCTATTCATCAAAGGGAGGTAACTACAGTCAGCTTCCTCCAAATATGGACAAAAGATCAATGTCTGCAAATGGAAGTTAGCTATGTATGCCTTGAACTAAGATTTGCCTTAAATATTTTTCATGTTAATAGAGGTATATATGTAAAATCTAGTTATTCTTAAAAATAAATGTGAAAACAATAATAACTTCACAGACAGCTTATGAAATAATAACACACAATTAAATGTAGACAACAGTAGGAAATCAGTGACATTGTTCCATGAAATAATGTGACACAAACCCCATTATCTTTCATTATCAATCAGTTCATGGTAGTCTGCTTGGCCTATTTTTTTAATTGGTGGAAACATAATTACAAAGAATTGCTTTGTTAGCTGATCGGTGCCACACACAGGCCTACCAAAGAACTTAACCTCTGTGCAGAAAAACGCGGAAAAGCTCACATTAACCGTGTAAATAGCAACATAAACATATTACCTCGCTACTGAAACAGTATAAACAGCAACGAAAGACTATGAAACTGCAACATTTTTGCAACAACGAACTTTGTCCTCTGCCGTGCATGCTCATTACGATCTGCGATTCTTTCAAATTTCCGAGCAACCTTGAATCGCCTCGCATAGAAAATGTATTGAATATGTCGAAATAATTTCTGTCAATCATTTCGTACGAATGGATAGTAAACTTAACAAGTGTGCACACAAGTATGATGATGATAAATGCCAAATAACACAACAGAAATACTTCAAAAAGGGAATGTAACTTTTGTCCAAGCTGGAAAATGTCAACATGCGGTGGAGACTTCCTCTTCCATGTGTGCATGCGCAAAATCGAAGTTGCAGGCTCCTCGTTTTTTTTATCCCGTATCATCGATTTAAAGTTGCCATTTTTACTGTTTCAGTAGCGAGGTATTATGTTTATGTTGCTATTTGCACGATTAGTGTGGGTTTTTCTGCGTTTTTCTGCTCAGTGGGTGTTTTCTTTGGTAGGCCTGACACAGTGCCTTGCAAAAAGGAAATCCAAGAAAGGGAAAACGTTCAGCATACCATGGAGATTGGCTGTGAATTCATATTTGTTTCAATGGTTGTTCCCACAGCTCTGTCAAGATGACATATGGGAGTATTGACATGTTAGGATCGTTCAGCAAAAACAGATTGCATTTGATGTCGGTAAAATCAAAATGTCAACGTCAGTGAATAACCTTGAGTTTTAGCAGCAATGTAATCCATTGCAGGTAAATATATTGAGATAAAAAAAATATCTGATTAGATCTCTGAAAATTATTGATAACTAAGATTTGATTATATACTTGCAGTTTTTTGTCATATACTATAAATTTCATATTCTGGTATACAGGTTTTGATTTTTCTTTTTTGTGCAGGGCACCTTGTTAAAACATTTAGAAGAGCACTGTATTCAGAGTGACATGACACGAGATGACATCATGCTCTACTACACAACAGTAAGTTCCCCATGAAGAGTGCTATAATGGGGAGGATTGAATTTCAGGCATGTTGATTGCTGCGTAAAACAACATTCTTTCATTGTGGAATGACTTTATAAGTTGAATTTCAGGCATCGTTGTCGAGGAAATCGTTCTTTCATTATCAGTCCCTCGTAAAAAGTTATCACATCGCGTGTCGAGGGAAATACGGGGTTTTATCAGTCCCTTGATAACGCATTTATTTAGCCGAATGTTTTTACTAAATCAAAAGAAAACAATACGCATCGAATCGACTTGTTTTTATTTATGTGAGATGCCATGTTGACAACAGCTGATCGATTGACCTCAATGCAACACACGTTACTAAAGGCTTGGCGATGCACACTTTTCTCACTTCGCATGGTCACCGAGACGTGGCGGGATAATATGACTATTGTACTCTCTGATCGCGGATCGTGACGGGTGTACATGGTATTTTATCAGAGTCAAGTGAACCAATCAAAACTCGACATTCTTACATGAGGCTGGATAACAGTATTTGTCACATGCCTGTGTAGGGCTCAGTAGTTTTGGAAGACCCCAGTATGACTGCACTGAGTATGTGAATGATACACATTCAGTATTATCGCTCTTTACTCTGTGGCCATCTCATGCGGACACTGCTGTAGAACTGCACCAACCAGCTGTGTCTGTGATATTGTGACTCTCTCTCATGGACACAAGGGCTGGTTATTTCTCACAAGTTGCCGATCGATAATCGGAGCAGAGTAATTGATCAATAATTGATAAGTAGCCAATTGTAATCATAAACCTCTACCACAAAACTCATGTGGGCTATAATGCACACAATCCTAACATAATACTACAATCATGAGCATACTTCCTGTTGACTCTCGCTCAAGTATGATGTTTACATTGCAGTTTTACGAGTCATAACAAGTGATGCCGTTTCCTGTCTTGATTTAACAAGCATAACAATAAGAAACATACGAAAGTTCAATTTGTTGTTTCAAATCTTATGCATATCGATTAGTCCATCGATAATCACTGATGCAAGCGAGATCAATCAATTGACCAATTATTCGATCAATCACTCCAGCACTAATGGTCACTGCCTCAGTACTGAAGATGTACTAATACTGTGATTGTCTGCAGGCTGGTTGGATGATGTGGAACTGGTTGGTCTCTGTCCTGGCCGTCGGGGCAGCCATTGTTCTGTATGACGGCTCACCACTGGTGCCCCACCCCAACGTCCTGTGGGACCTGGTGGATCAGATAGGCATCACTGTCCTGGGAACTGGAGCTAAGTGGTTGTCTGTGCTGGAGGAGAAGGATGTCAAACCAGGTAACAATTTCACCATTGAAAGAAGATCTCCCTCAAAAAGATTATGCTTACGTTAAGTTATAATGTGAAAAATCAAGCACCCCTTGTGAAATATTAAGAATATTTGGTTTGTATTTTGGGTAGGTGCTTCACCAGATTGTTAATGCATGTCTTCTGGGATCAGGGTTTACATGATTTACCAGAAAACTAGGTCGTTCACAAGCTCAATCGATGCTTATCACTCCGCTGTGGTTACTGGCTCAGTTCTGTTGCAAGGTCAAGGACGTTATCTGGCGCATCGGCTGCTGATTAATGCAAAATGGCCGCGGCCAAAGGCAGTAAGTCCACCAACAACCACAAACTGGCTTCATCGCGTATGTGAACAATCGCAAAGGAGCGAGAGTGTTTATTCCACCCCGTAAATCATCAATCATTCCTCTCCAAGCAGACGTTCTCCAGCATCTATCTATAGGCTGGTCCCTCGATTTGGCACCAGCTGGCTTACACCAAGAATATAGATATGCTCATGAAGCAAGGGGTTATTCCTCAAAATGGGTCTTTATCTATTGTCCTGTCTTGGCGTTAGTAAAGAGCTGTTATATATGATATATATAATGGCCGCTGCCACGTTTGCTTTTAGCAATTTCCAGTACTTCAGGTAGTAATTACCTTTTAAATCCACACCTTGGCATGATGTTACTATGGTAATCAGCCTCCGAAATTCATGCTTGACCACCAGCCCAAGACTGCTATATTGTGTTGAAGACAGGTAAATTTCCAACTATGGTCTTCATAGACAAGAAGTATTTGAGGACTATGATTCTAAACTCTGTTCTCAGTGCTTCAGTTTCCTACAAATTGGAGCTGAATAAAACTGACCGAAATGTTTTTTGTCTTTTGCATACGTGACTACATATATAAGAGGACTAGTTACTTAAAGTTTCCACTCGTCATATGGGCATGTTTTTGGAGAGAAACAAGTATCTGATACTGGCATCATGTTTGTTTGTATACTCCTCAGGGAGCTGAGAGTACATTATCAACAGAACAATGGTTGATCTCATATTTTCTAATAGTTTCTTTGTGGCAAATATGAATGTACATTGAAATTTATTCACGCACTTACTTCATTTTCCCTAACAATAGAGATGAAGTAGCCTTCTGGCTAAAGTGCTCACTCATCACACCAAAGGGCCGGGTTCAATTCCCCATCTCGGTACAATGTGTCATGCCCATTTCTGGTGTTCAGTGCCATGATAGCTAAAACCTGAGTAAAGCCATACTGGCTATTTTAATATAAAGAATTGTAAAAATCATGCCTTAGTTGATTGTCAATTGTCTATTTCTAACCAGGTCAGACCCACAAGCTGACGACATTGAAGATGATCCTGTCGACAGGCTCCCCGCTCAAGCCCCAGTCCTATGATTATGTATACAGGGACATCAAAAGTGACCTGCTCCTGGGCTCCATCACAGGTGAGGTCTTCTAGTCGGTGGGGGAGGGGCCATGGGTTGTCCAGCCATCAAGTGTTGCAATAGCTTATGTAGAGTTGTGTCCCCTTGGTAAATATTCCAACCATGGTCATGGGATAAGACGCCAAGGGGATTCTGTGTTAGAATTGGTCCCCAGTAGTTCCTGTTGATTGGTGACTGATGCTGTGTAATGCTGTGAGTTGGTCATGATGGTTCGGGCAATATTATTTACAGTCAGCCTTCACATAGCTAGAATATAACACAGTTCTGCATTTAGAAACAAAGAAAAACATTAGTTGAATGAAGTATTCTTCTTGTTAGGCACACTTAATTCAAACGGCCACACCTACACATATGTGTGAGTGATTGTGGCACCTGTAATCATAATCATGAGTACCCTACGGCACACCTAAACATTCTTTTGTTCCCTGTGGCACACAAAAACTGTATTCGTGAGTGACCTGCAACACAGTTGAAGAAATCCCTCATATCCTCCTCTATTGCAGGTGGTACCGACATCATAGCCTGCTTCATGGGACAGAACTGGACGGTGCCGGTTTACCGTGGGGAGATCCAGTCCCTGATGCTGGGGTGTAACATGGTCAGCTGGACAGAAGACGGTAGGGGGCTGTGAACTTATCGCCCCTTTTTCCTGGGGCAACAAGCATTTCCCTTGGGCCCCAACCTTTCATCTGAGGTTCCAAACTTTCCCCTTTGGCTCCAAATGTTGCTCTTGGACTCCATAATCTCCCCAATGTGTCTTTGGAATTCTTGAGCAAATTGATCTTATTTCCCATGTCTGTTGCATGGGCAAATATAACCTGAGCATTTGTAATCTGAGTTGTCAAGCCTGAAATAAGCATTGAATTTTCAGCAAATTTTGGTTAATAAATGCTTAACAAATTTGCCTTGGGCTTTGGCTGTGGATTTTATTGTGAAAAATAACATTGTTGAAGCGAACTTTGCATTGACCACAGTCTGATCAGAATAAGCACAAGTCATTATATCAGAATGTTTTCAGTATCAAACGATTGGTATTGTGATTACTTATCTGCTTATTATGTTAGGGCATTGAGTACGCCTGTTCTGCACAAGTTAGATGGGTGGCTATCTGTAAGAGTTGACATGTACCTGTACTCCCCTGTTGATCTTCTCCAGGTAAACAGGTGTTTGACGACAGTGGAGAGCTGGTGTGTCTCACTCCATTCCCTTCCATGCCAGTATATTTCTGGCATGACACAGACAACCTCAAATACAAGAAAGCGTACTTTGACAAGTTTCCAGGTGAGTTAAGATGTTGATATAATTCTAGATGGTTAAGAAGTGGCTTAAAACAAACTAGCTAACAGAAATAGTAGTAGTTGGGAAAAACCCCATGTCTCGATTTGTTTACTGTGTCTGCTCAACCTTCGTTAATTTTACAATTTGACATGGATTTACATGAGACATGGCCATGAAAGTACAAGTGTTCCAGTGATAGCATCTCGTCTTAAGACAGGATTTCTGTCAAGCTAAAGAGCATGTGTACCGGTACCCTCATTGTAAATGGTTGTTTGTTTTCCTCTGTAGCAGTAGAGGCATTGGTACTGATGTGAATGTATTTCACTTTGCAGGTGTGTGGGCTCATGGGGACTTCTGTTCTATCAACTCTCACACTGGAGGTGTGGTGATGCTAGGGAGGAGGTAGGTGTGGGGTGTGCGTAGGGGTGGGGGTAGGTGTGGGGTGTGTGAGGGGTATATGTGTGTGGAGTGTGAGGGGTAGGTGTGTAGGCTGTGGATGGATGGGGGCTGAGGGGTAGGTGAGGGGTGGGGGTGTGTGAGGGGGTAGGTGTGTGCTGTGGATGGGTGAGGTGTGAGGGGATGGGTGTGTGTGCTGTGGATGGGTGAGGGCTGAGGGGTAGGTGTGAGGGGGTGGGTGTGAGGGGGGTAGGTATTTCGGATGTGAGAGGGTAGGTATGTTGGGGTTGAGGCTGTGAGCGGGTGGGTGTGTGGGTTGAAAATGGACGGGTGGGTCGTGAGGGAGTGGATGTGTGGTTTGTGAACTGGTAGGTGTGTGGCTGATGGCGGGATGGACAGAATAGGCAACATCTACATCATGTTTGTTTTACTCATTACCCACAGTGATTTGCTGTCCAGAGCTGTGTCCCTTGACTTTATGAGGATCTTCTGACCATGGTTTGAATACCCCGCTAATATGATCATGATCCTTGTTTAGTCTGCTTCCCAAGGCATTGGAATGTTCCGTGGTCTAAGGACCACATTTCACTCTACAGAGTTTCACTTTGATGTAATAATGTTCCAGACATTTAGCTTGACATGCTCAAGGTCAATTCCTGGCAACAAGTATGCAGCAATTGACAGTTATTATTCCAAGTTCAATTAGATATTTCCTTATTTATCAGAATTTGCTTAAAGATCCAGGTTTGATTCCCCACATGGGTACACTGTGTGAAACCCATTTCTGGTGTCCCCTGCCATGATATTACTGGAATATTGCTAAAAGCGGCATAAAACTAAACTCACTCACTCTAAGAAATACTGAGTCTGTGTCTAATCCTATATATATGTTTTATGTTTGCAGTAATTTGAGTTGGATATTTTATAGTTAGGTGACTGTTGAATTGTGTATATTGCAGTGATGGCACCCTGAATCCAAACGGTGTAAGATTCGGCAGTGCAGAAATATACAACATAGGTAAGCCTTGTCACCTTTGAAATTCTTCTGTTTCTGTTCAGTACTTGAGGTTGCACCATGGGCTTTTCATTTGCAAAGAGATTGATTATTTGCAGGCAGTGTTATTCATTAACTGGAGTATTGCTGACTGCATCGACCAGTCAAGTTTGTTTGTTGGAGCTTGTGGGTAGCAGGTGGTCACAATGTCTGATTATGTAGTGTCATGTGAAATTGGGTTTTAGTGTTTGAAAATATTTACATATGTCTTTGGTTTGCTGTAAGAATGTGTTCAGTTGACTGTCAGGACTTAAGTGGTTTAGAGTGTGGCTGACTGAGATTGCCAAATGATGCATTTCTGATTAATATTCTTACATCATATGATTGTGCCATTATGCCTAGAAGGGGGCGTGGGGTAGCCTAGTGGTTAAAGCTGGTATGGCGCATCAATCCGAACCGACCTTCCACTTCGATTCCCACACTACACCACAATGTCTGATTATGTAGCCCATTTCTGTGTGTCCCCATATGCCTTGTTTCTGGAATATTGCTAAAAGCGTGTTTAAGGTGGCTAAACTTTTGCCAGTGATTTCAGTCATGCATCATAGAAGTGATGCCTTTTCAGACTCATTACATGAAAAAAAGACAATAAGTAACTAGCCGTGGAATATAATGTGCAAGTTGCAAAGTTTGATAAACTGCACCTTATTGTCACAATAAGTCTCCACCTTAAATCTATTACATCAGGGGTGAAAATAACTTTAAAATTGCTAGTGTACTCTGGTACAGTGGCACAAGTGAAATCACTTGCTCTGATAATTTTTCCACAATACCGGCCGTTTTCTTGTTGATCTTTTTAAATAAACAACATAATTAACATTGGAAAGTCAACTGGACTCCGGGACAGTGTGATATACGAATTTGCTTGCCCGACAGAAAAAAACACTGGACTCAGACGTCGGGCAATGGGTTATTTCCACCCCTGTACATAAGGACCCATGCAAATTTGAAACTATGTGCCCACCATTTTAAAAGACCATTCTGAATTTAAAGAAATTCATTTGTAATTTAATTAATTAAAGGTCTAGATTTCATTCAAGTTTGACTGAAGTAACAAGAGACAGAAGAGTTTAGCTAGGGCCTAAAGTCTAAAGTCTAAATAATGATGTTTTCTTCTTCCAGTGGAAGCCTTCAAGGAGATTCAGGACAGTGTGTGTGTTGCCCAGCGTAGCAGAGACAGGATGGAAGAGAGAGTTGTCCTCTTTCTCAAGATGGCGCCAGGGAGCGAGTTCAGCAAGGAGGTTGTTGGCAGCATCAAGACCTCCATCAGGATGTATCTGTCTGCCAGACATGTGCCTTCCATTATTCTGCCCATTGACGATATTCCTGTGAGTAAAGATTGTCTAAAGACATTCCTCAGAACTATTTCTATTTCTTTTGAATCTGTACTATTCAGGACTCATACACCTCATGACAGAATGATTTCCCAGAGTTTCTTGTATATATTGTTTTGGTATTCCAGGGCCGAAGGGTTTTCCAGTAATCTTTGCTTGTCATGAGAGAATACAATAATAATAGACTCGATTGTTTGTATGGCCATGACAGCATTTCTTCATGATATAGCTAGAGTAAGCCTGATTCCAGTGCTGTCATGCTCACCACCAAACCTCAAACAAAAGATGTGGACCCAGTTTGCTCACCCTATATATATATATATATATATATATATATATCCGGGTACTTGTCCAAGATTTTAATGTCAAATTTGACTGTGATTTTTCTAAACTATTTTTAGAAACAGAAGATAACTTTCCTTCTCTTCTAGGGCAATGGGGTAGCCTAGTGGTTAAAGCGTTCGTTTGTCATGCTGAAGGCCAGGGTTTGGTTCCCACATTGTCTGAAGCCCATTTCTGGTGTCCCCCGCTATGATATTGCTGGAATATTGCTAACAGCTTTGTAAAACCATACTCATCCCTTTTCTTCTAACCTATATGCATACTTTACAATGTGGTGTTCATGTTTCCCTGTGTCACTTCAGTACACCATCTCTGGCAAGAAGGTTGAGATAGCCGTAAAACGTGCCATCTCTGGTCTGGACGTCCCCCAACGTGGTGCCCTCGCCAACCCAAACTCCATCGACCTCTACTACAGCATTCCAGAGCTGCTGAACTTCTAGAAGTTTCATTAATATGAATTCAACAGTTGTCGATTGTCTGAAATAATCTTTAGGGTCTTATTTGTTTAACATCTTTTAACCAAAGATTTTGTCTCTACATTTCTGTGGATGCGAAAATAGTAACAACAACAAATGGTAACACATGCCCAAATGCCACAAGACATTGGAAGACAATTATATGTCCAGTGTGCAAGCCAACTTCCTGCCCATGTCATTTTAAGCCTAGTTAGATTGTGTGTTTTTCACTGGAAAAAGTTTAGAAACTTTGATGTCAAATATATAGAACTATTTGGGCAAATTGATTGGAAACTTCAACAGGCGTTGCTTGGGTGATATTAGCAGCCACGTTTTCAGAACATTGTTGAATTTATAAAACATTCTATTTTTAAACTTATCCTATCTCACGGTATGAACCTCTCTTCTTCTTCTACGACCATGTGTGGAAACGTGCTGTAGGCTAAGTTGAATCAAAAGTTATCTGGCCCCCGACCTCTGCCCCCACTCCAAGAGCAGTACCTGTCAATCATCTCAATAAGCGTGAGCTCAAATTATCACGTGACGGTTTGTGCCTGTCATTCTGGTCTTGGAGCTTCCAGTAATCTGTGATGTGGGGCAGGTCGGGTGGGTACAGGATAAGTATATAAATATACAATTTATAGTAAAATTTTCAACTTATTGAACTATCAGTATGTGTGATGGTGCACTCATATTGGATTAAAATGGCAAGTGTGGAATCTAGACTTTGATTTACTGAGGTATGCGAGAGGACAAGCTTGTTTCGCGAAGATGTAGGGTTGAAGAATCTGTTCACTGGAAAGAATCCACACATTTGACTGCAGCTGATTTTATGAGTTTTAGTGGAATATTGACTGGTCAGTTTTGATGAGCATCTGCAGAAAATCTGTGGAACTTCCAGCATGATGTGCATCTAAATTAGTCAGTGACAGGGATATCGGAACAATTCACATGTTCCTTATTGTTTCAGTTGTGTGAAGTGTCGGATATTCAGAGAGATACTTCAATAATCTATAATCAACTCAACTATGTTCTCTACAAGAGACATGAGCTTGGTGAAAGCACCACTAGGGAACTTTCTGAAGAAGCAGAGTCCCATTCACAAAGTGATGGGTCACTAGTGCAAGGATGCTTTGTGGTACAGGGCATCCATCATGATCAAAGTGTACTTTGTTTTGTCTTATATACCACATATATTCTGGGGATAGTGTAACAGTGGTTGATGAGGGACTTTGGTGATGATGTTTATACTGTCTATTGTATTATTATGCTGTTGTTGAGGTGTCTTGTTAAGGGGAAGGAACCCAGACATGACTAAGGCTGTTACGATTCACTCGCATATTCAGTGAATCGAACCGTAGCCCTTCATGAATTCAATTTGTTATTCGTGGCCACCAGAACCGAATATTCATGAATATTAACAATTTTTTTAAAGATGTCCGTTTTACTTGAACCCTTATGTCCTTTTTCAAAATGAGATATGCAAGAATGAAATATGTACTAGCCTTGTAGTACCGCAAGTCATGTTAGTTTTCCAAGGCCGCACATGTTACTGTCAGCTATTACTATTATATACCAAATTTGAGTGTCATGAGATCACTGGTTATTGCTGTGACAAATTAACACTGTCAACATGGGCATTCAATATTGTGCATCAATCCCTTAACTTCAATATTGTATTCATGAATAATTATTTGTATTCGTTACCCAATATTCGTGATAAGTATCATATTCGCCACATAGTGTATTCGTTACAGCCCTAAAGATGACTACAGTTAGATTTAGGGAATGTCCTGAGATTGCTTGACACGTGATCTCACTTGTTTGCCAGTTTCAACAATGGTTGCAATGGTCACACCAGAACAATTGTAAAACATTAATTCATTATTCAAGATTCAGATTAGAATTGGTCATGCTTGTCGTAAGAGGCATCTAATGTTTGACACATGCCATTGTATCCCAATTGTGTTGACCGATGCTTGTGATCTGAATCACTGGATTGTCAAGTCCAGACTTTATTATTTACAGACCACCGCCATAAAGCTGGAATATTGCTGAGTGCAGCATTAAACAACAAATAAACAATCCAATATTGCTGAGTGCAGCATTAAACAACAAATAAACAATCCAATATTGCTGAGTGCAGCATTAAACAACAAATAAACAATCCAATATTGCTGAGTGCAGCATTTAACAACAAATAAACAATCCAATATTGCTGAGTGCAGCAACAAATAAACAACAAATAAACAATCAGGTATCTGATCTTAATTAAGCCTGTCAGCAGGACGGTGGGGTATCTGATGTATGTGGAGAACTAGGTATTATATTATCTATCTATGTAATGGTAGTATCTGTCAGTTTATCTGAATCTAATGAAGCTGTCAGTAACGTGGACGTAGGTGGAGAACTATTATCTAGGGTATCTGATCTAATGAAGCCTGTCAGTAGGACGTGTGGAGAACTATTATCTAGGGTATCTGATCTAATGAAGCCTGTCAGTAGGACGTGTGGAGAACTATTATCTAGGGTATCTGATCTAATGAAGCCTGTCAGTAGGACGTGTGGAGAACTATTATCTAGGGTATCTGATCTAATGAAGCCTGTCAGTAGGACGTGTGGAGAACTATTATCTAGGGTATCTGATCTAATGAAGCCTGTCAGTAGGACGTGTGGAGAACTATTATCGTAGGAGAACTTATCTGATCTAATGAAGCCTGTCAGTAGGACGGTGGAGAACTATTATCTAGGGTATCTGATCTAATGAAGCCTGTCAGGTAGGACGTCAGTAGGATCGTGGGGTATCTGAAATTAAGCCTATTAGAACTATTATCTAGGGTATCTGATCTAATGAAGCCTGTCAGTAGGACGTGTGGAACCATTATCTAGGGTATCTTCAGACTATTATCAGTAGGACGGTGGAGAACTATTATCTAGGGTATCTGATCTAATTAAGCCTGCATAGTTCCATGTTGAAAGTGCCTACATATATGTTGTTTTTATCACTCATTTTAAGTGTGTTATAGTGTATGCAATGATTTAATTGTTGGTGATTTGTATTTTGTTTGTTTAGTTGTGGTTCTTTAAGCTAGACCTTGATTTGATGACTGTTGAGTGATACTAAAAGCTTAACAGTGAAGGTCATGAAGTGTACTCCGTACAGAGATGACTCCTCCGTTTTCAGGAAAATTGTAATGATAACTACTCCCTTCTTGTTATCCGTGTTCAGGGATGCCAACCTCTACGATTTTATCATAGTCACTACAAATTTTAGCCAGTAGTATACACAATGGGGCTACGGGACCAGGTCCCCCCCTGAGCCCTTGAGGAATCCATAATCCCCTAGCCCCATTGTGTATACTACTACTGAGGTGCATGCAAAATTTGATGAAAATCGGTCGAATAGTTTCTGAAATATTGACTTTTTAAGTGATTATGGGGTCGGTCGGGAAAAGGCAAATGTCCAACTTTTTGTCGTAATTAAGTCTTAATTAATCTAATGAAGTCACTGAGAGTGTTCCCAGTGCCATTTTGCTTTAGCGTAACCATCTGCAAAGATGCTTACAAAATTTCACGAAAAAAATAGTTTAGGAAATAATCACTTTTAGTGAGCATGGGGTGGGTCTGGCGACATGCTAACAATCCAAAGCGTATTGTCGCTACTTGTTATATATTATCGGGCGAGAGGTGTATCCCCTTACCACCACCAGCGTCAGTAGATCGGTTTGCTGTTTTCAGTTGCTCAGTTTGCACTCCAGGTTTTCTAATCTGCGCAAGTCCCTAGGTTCGATATGCTCGCACATTTTCTAACGCGTGTTCCTGGAACTTGAGACTCCATCATTGTCGTATGTGAAGCGTCGCGCTGAGATATCCTATACTTACAGGATCGTGTTTAACATCTAAAACTGATATATTCAATTCTGTGATGTTGCCTCGGATTGATTTCTTGTACTGCCGCGACGAAAACGATTCGGTTCTGCCATTGTTGTACTTTTCCACTTTCACCGGCACGGCACTCAGTTGTGTGGAAGGTCGTTTGCCTTGAACATTGTCAGTCGTGCTCAGCTGATAGAGATGAATGCACAGTTCGCGATACTGAACGAGATCGGGTAATTTCGCGTTGCGATCCACGAAGGTTTCCGGTGGTATGTCGATTCGGCTGAAAAGCCGAAGGCTGAGCTCAGGGCCGGTTGTTGTCTCAGACCATCCATTTTTCCATTTTGTTGGTTTTGAAGATTTCATTGGCGAGCACATGCTGTAGTCGAAGTCGCTCATTTGGTGCAGTTCAGCTCCAGCCTGTTGTTTCTGAAGATTTCTCCATCGCGGATGGTAGAGCGAAGAGCACAGGAGCTGACGTGTTATTGATCGCGAGTGCAGCAGCTGAATGGACTCGCCGCTCGTTATTCCCGGAAGCGTCACGTACATATTGAAAAGTAGATATGTATACTAAAATATAACAATTCAATATGTACAAACCGGGAGTGTTTTATTCTAAAAGTGATAATATAAGTGCTACCTATCTCACGCAACCGATTATTGTGGTCGATGCAAAGTATGGTTTACAACTTATGGTTCTGGTTCATCAACGGTTTTCGGTCACGAATGTGAAAACGGTACACACCTGGTTCCACAACCCGATACAGTTCTGGCAGAATCAATTCAATTTCGCCGTGTGGTGCGCAACGACCGGGTGCGGCGTGACGTTGAACGACACTCGTCGTGATGCGCTGAGTCGGTCTGTATTCTCGTTTCACGTGTACTACCAGATCAGACGTATCCTGAAAGCACCCGATTCCGCAGGACAAGGCATGGAATGCCGTAAACAATCCATACGATCGATGTGCGTATGAACGCATTTGCGGTGAAGTCAAACTAGATCCGAAGACGGTCGATTGCCGGGTCCGAACCACAATTTGGGCATTCCCATCGTTCACAACATGTCTCTCGTGGAAGCCAGCAAACAGCTGGTGAAAGATTGGGGTTACAAGTCGTATCATTACGTCACGACGAACGAGTGGAACGACGATTACATGGCTTTCGACGACAGCAAAGGATTACACGCATTTGGAGGTTTGAGCAGGGACCCGCTGACGATTGGAAAATGTTCATGCTGGACACTTTGAAAGGGTTTACTCGTGTCGGAGTCGTCAGATTGAACGATTCGATTCGAATGTACATGTAGGCCGTGCTGAGCGCTCAGACGCAAACGCGTTCTGGCATCGTGAGTCGTGAAGGGACAGCTTACGACGCGCAGAAACAGTTCGTGGCTAACGTCGAGGATGCCATTGCTAGACCTGTCGATCCACCGAGTGCCATCGAATGCTATCAAAACGCGCTAGAATTCACCCGGCGTGAGACTGTACATGACTCCGAGCGACATGCGACTGAGGGTGAACAGATTGGTGGGCTACAACCATGAAATCGTCATCGCAACCGCTGATCAAAAGTTGGGTTTGAACCAGCACGTCAATAACGCGAGTCAAGTCGCTGCCACAGTACAAAACGGGCATCATGGCACCGACACCAGAAGAAGTGGCACCAACACCGGAAGAAGTAGCACCACCAAGCCAACAACAGCAGCAGCTGCCCCGGCACGTGCAGGCAAACAATCAGCAGCACGTCGATCACAGAACGGGGCGATCGCGGTTTGACTGTGCCTCATTTGGTTAAGAATTCCGCCTTGCTGCGACGTTACCCAGACCCGCCATGGCGGACGACCGAAAGCCCACAGGTTTTACCGACCCACATTACCGTTTTCGACAAGAAGCCTAACAACCAGGAAATGATGTTGCCCAAGATGCCAGGCTGCGCTTCGGCGGCTTTGCCGGCCACTTTAGCCAGGGCTTCGCTGAGAGATTTCAAATGTTTTTTTATCCAGTCTCTGACGTCGTTGCCTGATGTTGATGGGCTTGTTGGTGTTGGGCTTGGTGTACCACCACCGCCCGTCAGCAATACGACCAGGGTTGATATGATGAAACCCAAAGCCGTGAGAACGCTGGTGATGGTTATTCCTTGTTCCCGGAACAGAATTCGGTTCCTGTCGGCCAACGTGGTGTCCTCCTTTAAGACTCGGTCGATGGTTTCATGCACACAACTGATTTGCGATCGGAGGGCTTCCAGGTTGGAGGAAGCGGCTTCAAATCTGGCCCGTCTCTCGTCTTCCAGGTGGCGCAATATTTTCTCGATGTTTTTCGAAGCTTCATCGTCGTCCACGATCCTGAGGTTTTTTTTCTCGCGAGCGATGTGCTCGTCGATTTTGTTCAGTTTACGTTGTTCACAAGTTCTCCGCGCACGATTTTCAAGGCTTCGTCTAGACCCCGAAGTTCCCAAAGAGGAAATTCGAAACCTGGCAAGGGTTCGTTCGAGTACGTGACCAATATTTTCATCCGGCGCTTCTTTGGCACGCTGGGGCATTTCTCTAGGATCGGCAGCGCCGACACCACCGAGTTCGGATCTTACATTTTGCAGATCTCAGACGACCTTCGGCGGAATGTTTGTGTGTTTGTTCATGAGATCGACCTCCGGATGAGCTTTCAATCGCAGCATCGCTTCGTTGTCGATTTTGAACTTCGGATGGTCGCGACCCAACGGTTCGACGTAATTTTTATCACCCTTTTTACAGCATCGTAATAATCGTCCACGGTCTGGTTTAGAAGCTTGTTGCCCACGGTGTCGCCCATGAACGAGGTGTCCATGGCTGCTGCATCATTGTCGTTCAGCTGGTGTATGTCGAAATCGTCCATGGGAATATCGTCAGCCATTTTTTTTTATATTAAACTTATATACATAGTTTCAATATAAACAATGTTGCAATACGGACGATAGCTAGATCCTTTCCGAAGATCAAGAGAACCCCTGGGTGTCAAAGCCGTGTGTCAGTCGGTGACGATCACCAACAATCAGAGCACGATCGATCAAAACCAAATGATGCTGGTTCGATTTTCCAACCTGGGCGCGAACGACGTCATCGCCCCAGGCACAACTCGACTGGCTTTTCAGATCACGTTGGAGTCCACGAACGACAAACGCACGATCGGGAACAACCTGGGTTGTGCCGTTGCGTCAAGAAAACCACCATCAAAATCAGCGGGAACGAGGTGCTGAGCATCGACGACAGCGACATGTTTTACTGTTACGCGGACCTCTGGAGAACCTCGAACGAGCACGATGACATGGCGAATCAAGGACTTTGTCGGAATAACAACGTATCAAACGAAATCTGTGTGGGGTACGGTTTCACGCAAGACCAGCTCGGCAATATGACGGCAGGAGACAAAGCTGTCGACGAGGCGTACGGGAATCGGTTTTGCATACCGCTCGACTTCAAGCTGCTCGAGGGGCACATGCCGTTTTACCAGGCCGTGCTGGGCGACAGGCTGGAATACAAACTCACGTTCAACGACTACGGCAAAGTCATCTTCACGCCGGACGGCACCGAGGGCAGCTACGTCATCGACAACATCTCGCTGGAGTTCGACATGGTCACAAGCACGGAACTGGCCCAGCAGATTCGCACCCAGTACTCGGGAAAGCTGTCCATCCTGTACGACCGCGTGTTGCGACACCGGACGATCATCAAGGACAAGAGTGACACGTTGTGGGACATCAACCTGAACGATGTCGCCAAAGACCTGGGTTTCACCTATGTGACGCTCGGTAATTACCTGGATACCTCACAACACAGTCCCTTACACATCACCCACCGTGTGATGATAGTTTCTTGTCATGATATTTTATCAGTCTTGCATACCTATTTTCTGCTTAATGTAGCCAGCCAGCCAGCCCCCTGTACACCAAGCCGAGAGAGAGACACCGACTACGCTACTTCGACGATCGCCCACCCACAGTGCTTGGAGGAGCAACCACCCCCGAGGCGACCCGAGCTTTTTTCCCGACCAACCCATGCTCACTTAAAAGTCAATATTTCAGAAACTATTCGACCGATTTTCATCAAATTTTGCATGCACCTCAGTAGTACCATTTGTTACCCGAGAGTGGGGGTGTTATACCCTTATTCCCTGGGCAATCTGTCTTACCACTCTGGTTCTGGGGATGATGTAGCTAAGATGAATAGTGAGAGATAAGTCCGGTATGGTGTTCAAGTCCATTTATTTTGGAATGAATTCTTTCACAAAGGTCCTCAAATATTTCCTAGCTTTCCTGGTTTACATGCAACACAGATTCACAAATCTGCTGGAAGAACTTGTTGGTTTCTTATACAACTCCTAAAATTACTAGTTCATCTGAGCCATTCTCTCAATATACAGAGAGAACCTCTCAAGTCAACGGTGGGGCCCAGAGTCGCTTTGGTTCCCCACGAAATGTGGGAAAAGTGTTCTTTGACAATTTTAGGCTCCTCCCCACGAAATGATGTCCTACCTCCTACAAAAATGACTCATATCCAATCTTGATAATTAGTTACTTTCATTAGTCCCTTTCGGAGACTTTATTTGGTACCATCTTCCAGTGATAGAATGACATTGCTAGTTATCCTTAAGCCATACATCAACCAAACCATGAGATATCTAACTAATATCTCAGACTGGTAGGCGCCAGAATATACTTTATCAAATCA